TAAAACAACCTATCACTATTGTTTTTAAGATTTTTTTTTTTTGGCGGTGGAAGGTGCGGGGGTGGTAATAGGTAATTAGGTAGTTTTTTTTTTTTCTTCCTATTAGTGGAGGTCCCGGGGACTGAACCCAGGACCTCACGCATGCTTAGCACACAATCTTCCACTGAACTATATCTTCCCTCTTCTATCACTGCTGATGGCTATCTTTGGCTCTCAGCCCATATCCTGACCCTTTGTACCTTGAGAAGGTATCCGTTTTTGTGTCGCCACACTGGGCAGTGAGAGAGGGGAGGACATGGCACTGGGACAGCCACCACGTGTGCCCGTGGCAGAGCACTGAAGTGGAAATAGCACTGGACAAGGAGTCGGGACCAGGGCTTTGGCCTCGACTCTGCATGGAGTCACCCCGAGAACCCAGGCAAGTCACCTCGCTCGGAGATGCCAGTTCTCATGAAGGGAAGAATGAACACTGGCTGGATGATCCCTGCAGTTTCTTCCAGGTCCAAAAAGCTAGTCTCTCTCCAGACACGTTAGGACGTGTGTATGGATAGACAGCCACTGGGCAGCAGGTCTCAGCCAAGAGCACAGATGTCAAGGGAAGTGAGAGCCGCAGACACTGCTCTCTGCCTCAGAGAAGCCTTCCAGCCACCACACTGAGGTGGGGCCTCTGGTAACTCCACAGGACTGGTAATCCTAAATGTGTCTGTTTGTTTACTTGACAACACCTCCTCCACGAGGCTAGAAACCACAGCGGAAGACAGCGATGTGCTTTTGCTCTGACAGTGCTGAGTCCCCAGGCCAGCACAACACCCAGCATGGAGCAGCGCCCGGTGACGGGTGGTACGTGGGAGGCAGAAGGGAGGCTTGCTTTCAGCGGGACCAAACACTTCTTGGGTTACCCTTACAGCACACATACCAGATACAAGTATTTACAGGTCTCACTGAGAAAGAAGCTCTCCATCCGGTCCTCTTTGGATTTGTCGATGACGTGATGCAGCGTAGCATACCCACACCTACAAAACAATCTTCCAGTTAGTCCCGCCTCTGCTCCTTCCCACCTGCTTATTGACTTAAGAAGCAGAAGTAGTCTGTTAACAGAATAATCAAGTTACCAAACACCACATGAAAAACAAACTGTGTAAGGTTTAAGCGCAATCCTTTGTAGCCTACACTGTCTGCAAATTCATTAAAAAAAGTGGCTTGGCTGCCAAATCATCAGGTTATTTGTAGGGGAAGTGGGTGGGGGCCTGGGGGCGGTAGAGAGTGTTTGCTAAAAGCTTAACAGGACACCAAGAAGATGACTGGTAACATCAAAGGGACTGATTTAAATCTTATGTCCCAATACTTGTAGACTGACTTATCATACAGACAGTCTAAAACAGTATTTTGTAAGAAAATACTTATGGTATTACTGCTAGGTGAAAAAAGCAGGTCACAAAATCGAAATACTGAGTTTTTTCATATATACATACACACATACATTTTATATATATATGTAAAAAAGGAGTGTAAGACTGTATACTTAAATGCTGCTTATGGTTATCTCTGCACGTGGAGATTATGATGGTAACATTCTACCTCTACATTTCCTATACTCCCTACACTTTTCAGTGTATAACTTTTCATTTGTATAACAAGGAAGACCATTAGCTTTAAAAGAAACCATACAGTCTGCTGGAACCTTACAGGAATAAAGTTTTTTTTAAAAATTCTCACTATAATGGACAGGTTCCACTACACAAAAAGTAAGCAATTTCCCTACAAAATCAACATTAATGAGCTATTCTAGAAATTAAAATGCAAAAGAGAGAACATTTCCCCAGAACAACACAAAACAAATCAAAAGTGGCCAACGGAAAAAGTAAGGAATTTAGAAAACTAACTTGACTTTTGTGTACTTTTCCAGACTCTGCAGAATGTCCATTCCCACGTGGAGGTAGAAGGGATTCTTGGTTGCCTAGAGAGAACACAAGAGGAAGTGACCCAGTGAGGGCCTGGGAGGCGCGCCGGGTGACCGCATGCATTTCCCAACGAGGGAGTCACTGGCCAAAGGAAGACACATGGCCAGCTGCCTTCGCCTTGAAGGGTCACGAGTGTTAGGACTCGGGTGTTGTGTTGGGTCACGTCAAAGCGCACCCCAGTCTGGTGGACTTTAACGGGGCTGAGAAGATCTGCTCCCAGGAAGAGCAAGCTGCTGCCTTTGTCTCTCCTGAGCCCCATCAGGGTCAGAAATGAAACGATGCCTTATGGACAGTCCCAAACCCAGTCTCCCTCTTGCCTCAGAGCTCTCTAGAATATGAGCTGCAGGGACAGGGCTTGGCCCCACCCGGCCTGGAGCGCGGTGAGGGCGGGCTCGGTAGCAAGCTGCCTCCCCAGGTACAGGAAGCCGCCTCCACACACTCACTCTCATCACCCCATCGCCCACGAGCTCAGTCCCTGGGTTGCCTCTTGCACATGCTCACAAATCAGATGGTTTCGTCAGGGGAAGAAAAACTCTGGGATGATGAGACTTTTACCCCCAAAATAGTTTGAAAGTTGGGGATGAGCTGTAATTCATTCTCAGGGCCAACCTGCAGCAGCAAAAAGAAAAACGACCATGAGGTTAGCTGTCTCTGCACTAAGCGCAGGGAGCAGCTTCAAGGCTGGAAAGCTGAGGATTTCTCCAGATTCTAAGAAAATAGTCAACGTGAGGTGGAAGCTCAAATAGGAAAGAAGCAGTGACAGAAATAAAAGGGCATAAACCCAAAGGCAGAACTCAGACAGCAACGGTATGCCGCCCTCGGGGTGTGAGTGGCCTGGCTCTGCGCTGAGTTCAGAGGCAAACCCAGGGGCTCTCTTCCCGCTCCCGAGAGGGTCTCTCTTCACACATGAGGTCAGTGACCAGTTTCATAGGATTTCTCCCTTATCAGAAGCAAATGGCAAGGATTTGGTATAAAAAAAAAATACTGAATAAACCAAAGTATTAATCCTACTACTGGAGCTCATAACAAGACCTCCTGGTGAGAGCCTGCCCACTGCACGTGTTCGTTCCAGGTCTACTGAACGGCACGGCCGGCCGGCCCCGCGGGCAGCGAGCAGCTCGGGCTGCCGTGTCTGCGAACGGCGGACAGCTCTCGGTGCGTGTACACATATGGCGTGCACACAGTAGGCGTATCTGCCTTAACCCGTGGGGGAGAAGACTTTTCACAGTTAAAGTGACATTTCCTCTGGCACTCAAGTAATTTCACCAAAGATGAACACTGTATTTTTTTTTTAAGATTAAACAAAAATAGACATTCGGATGAATCCCAGATGATTCCCTTTCCAATTAAGAAAAATAATTTTTTTTGTCTGAATAACTCACATACACCAGGGTTCCATAGTACATGAGCACTGAAACGCATCCCAGAAAAGAGTTATTTGGTCAAATAAATTCGGAAAACAATGAGTACCAAACCATCCTCCTAAATTGTTTAAAATGTGAAAAACAAGCCGGAAAAACAGGATACGTTTCAACCTTGCAGGCTAAACACGTACGTGACCGCCGACACCTTCCCTGCCCTGTGGAACGAGGGCTCGCACTAAACACTAACAAGACCATGGACCGAATGTAAGTCTAACAGGGTTACTGAGAAACAACACAATTCTACACCAGTCAGCAAGTGATCGCGACGAACCAGTTGCTACAGGACTTTCTGGCATTTAAATCCGAACCACTGTTTAACAACCTCCAGTACCTGGTAGAGGAGATACGTAGACTCCACCAGCTCTGGTCTCAGCGGGTAGAAGAGCACGTCGGGGGCCTGCAGCTGCCAGTTGAACCTCTCAGGGAGGGCCCCATAGCGCTTCCAGATGGCGTAGTAGAAGGCATGCAGGCAGATGGCATCCTCCACGTCTCCTATCAGAACCTGAGGAGCAGACGCAGGCCACCAGGCTAAGGCACGTCTCAGAGTGGCCGGAGGTGACAGCAAGGCCCTGGACGCCCCGCCTCTACCCACTGGTTACCTGACCTGTGAGCGTGGAGACAAAACCCACCCAAAAGCAGCACCCCGGGCAGATGCCCCCTCCCCCGAATCTGGCCATCAACGCCAAATTCACACGAACTGCACTCGTGAACAGACAGACAACTGAGAGACGGGGCATTGGAAAACCACACACCGTTACTTTCCAAGCATGGCTTTGCACTTATGTGCTATGGAGTAATTTCCAAACAATGGAGGCGCATTGCGCTATTAACATCCCAAATCTGAAGGAGTCAGAGAATGTTCTGATATCATAAAAAGGCAAGAAAGAGGGGAAAAAAAGCTTTCCAATAATGGCATTTTCTTAGCAAACACGACCGTGAAGTACCTGCAGTCCGGGGAAGAAGGCCTGCAGGGAGTCGATCCACGTGTTCATGAGCTGCCCACTGAACATGTTCACATTGACATAGAGTCGGCGGGTCCCCCTCTCCCTCGTTACAGGCTTCCCGGCTGCGGGTCCAGGCAGAGGCACCAAAGGGGGAGAAACAGAAACAGCTCCAGCCGTGCCCCTGCAGCAGCCCCGGGCAGTTTCACTTAAATGGAATCAACATTAACCTTTTCTCCTAACACGTTCTTTAAACCTTTGGAGAGGGACTGCCTCTACTTGTTGATACGAGACTCTGGCATCAGATGACACCCACCACAGAATAAAAGTTCTAAACTCAGCCGGGGTAACAGGTCAGGATTTCACTGCACTTTGCAGAAAGCACTTTGACATTCAGGTTTGAGAATACTTCCACGTAATCTGGCATTTAGCTTGGGTGGGGTGTGACCTGAGTGGGGAAGCCTGGTTATTTCTGCAAAAGAGTCTCTTCTCTAATAAAGCTGGAGGAACACATCAGAGGAAGACGCTCAGGGATCACTACTCAGCTTCGTTCGGGGCTTTAAAAAGCCAAAAGGGCTGAACTCCAGCTCGTTTGCCTCCTACTACAATGCAGCACTTGCACGAGTGGTTCCTACAAAAGGCAGGGGGGAAATGGGTCCAAGAAAATCCCACCCTGTAGCCAACTCAGTAGCTGTCACCTGCAAGGGCCATGTAATATACCCAAGTACACAGGGAAGGCCCGGAGAGAGAGAGGCGACATCAGGGGGGAAGCCGCTGCAGCTTCGGAAGGCACCTCTCTTCTTGCCGTCACTTGCTGCTTGTCACTTGTGGCAGCCAGTCTCCAGGTGGCCCCCAGTGACCCCTGCCTCCTGACTGCCGCACCCTGGTGGGTCCCCTCCCACATCACGTCAGGCTCGGTCTGTGCAACCAGCAGGGTCCGCAGAAGTGGGGGGGTGTCGTGCTGAGATGAGCGCACGAAAGCACATGGCTTCCATTCTGCACTGTCTCTTTCTGTCAGATCACTCATTCTGGGGAAGCTGGCTGCCAGGAGCTTTCCTACAAGGAGGCCCATGGGGCAAGGAACTGAGACCTCCAGCCACAGCCAGTGAGGGACTGAAGCCTGGAAGGGGTCCCCAGGACCAGCCCAGCTGCTCCAAGCTTCCTGACCCTCAGAAACCGGATGCGATAACATGTGTTGTTTCAAGCCACTGGGCTTCAGGGTAATTGATTTTGCAGCAGCAGATAGCTAACACACCTCTTCACCCCCAAATGACAGGCAACTCGGAGGCAGGAAGAGACCCTGTGAATTTAGGCTGAGAAAAGCATGATCATCTCAGAATGCATTCTCTCTTCTTCACAGGGCAGTAAAAGCGATGCTGGGGAGACATACCCTCTTCTTAAGTAGTTCTGAATACTTTGATATGCAGCATTAAACATTTCTAGGTCTTCTTTTTCTCCGAAGAGAATATAAGATTTCAGGAGGTATTCGTAGAAAGAGTCCAGCCCGGCACCCAAGCCGCTCTGCTTTCCAACCCACCGGCCCGTCTGAATGTTCACGACGTTACCTGTGAAAGAAGCACAGTCCGTCAGGGTACCCAGGTAGGGGAGGCTCCCACCTCAGCCCCACTGCCCCTCAGCCCCTCGCAGGAAACAGGGGATGAATGTGTGGCCCTCGCTCCTTTATCAGCCCTACCAGGAGCAGGGATGGCCAGGAGAGCTCTCTGCATATACAGTGTTTAGCCACTGACACAAAAATGGGGAAAACACTTCATGTAAAGGAAAACAGGTTTGTTATTTTGCTTTTCCAGATTGAAAATGGATTTTTCAAAAGCCAAAAGAGTGTTGTTCATTAGAGAGTTATAAATTATATAATTTACATTATTTGTAAAAGAGTAAAAAACACCCCCAATAATCCAAATGTCCAACATTAGAAGAGTTAACAGACTATCACGTAGATTTTAAAGACAGTAACAATGAAAACAAGCTACCAACTTGAAAACACCTGAATGACTTGCCAAATGTAAGGCAAAATAAAAATATTTATGTTATCATGTCAGTGCATAACAGCGGCCCATGCCAGGCTGAAAGGGCTCATGGGAAATTTTTAAGTTGACAATTTGGGGTGACACTGGTCAATCATTTAATGATGGGCTGACAATCTGGACAACTTTTTTATCTGCACAGTTGTTAAATACAAGAAATTCACAAATAAATTTAAGAACTTCAGGAATAATCAAAAATTACTTCTTGCAATGACACTATAGCTCCAGGACCATCAATCCAGTTCCTTCTCAATGACAAGAAGAAAATATTTCTCAATATAAGACAAACAGTTACAAGAGGCAACAACCTATTACAAATTGTATCTTGAGTTAGCAAAATACTGATAATTACTGAAGATAAATGATGAATGCACAGGGGTTCATTATTTGTTATACTTTCTCCTACTTCTATGTGTTTGAAATTTTCCATAATAATTTTTTAATAACATCTTGGCCAAAAATCTCAAGGAAAAAAGAGAAAAAAACCCACCTAATACAGGTATAATCGGAGCTTTGAACCTACCACCATGGGCCAAGATTTTTTAGGAGAAAGCCACTCTACCAGTAACTCTAAATTCCTATGATGTGAACCTCACACTGAAGCAGTACAGCCTGCCTCTTAGGCAGCTTTTCATAACATTCTCATTAACAATGATTTTAAAGTGGAAAATGCCAAGGGATTCAAATCAGAGGGGAGCCGCAAACAGCAAAAACATCATGCTGCCCCATCGAACCTTACAGCCTCACTCTAAGCAAAAAGGCACAAAGAAATTAGACACAGCAGATGCTGAGGGCCTTTCTCTCTGAGTTGTTAATTTTCAGAGTCAACGGTACAAGAAAGAGGGGTGGAGAGGAGGGAGGGCCCCAGAGAAAAGGAAGGGAGCGATGGATGCAGTCCCGAGGGCCTGACAGGTGGCCCACACCTAACAGTCCTGTGTCGTTGCTCCGCAGGTTCCAAAGAGCTTTCACTGCTCGCCTGGCCACCCACTCAAACGTAGAATCCCCCAGCAGTCGGCTCAGAATCCCAAATTCCACCAGGAGGGAGCCAGCTCCGGCCGTGCACGTCTCATTATTGCTGTCGGGAGGAACGCCTGTCTTTAGATTCACCTGGGGACAGGAAGAGACAAAGGCTCTGTGGCAAAACTCAAGGCCCCCACGGGGATGGAAGGGTGGGCTGTAGCCACCGCACTCCACTAACGAGCCAAGCTCACTGTGGCCTGAGTCACCGCCTCCCCCCTTTACATCTGAGAGGAATGCGGGTTAAGTTTAAAAGACACAAACAAGACAACAGCAACACCAGAGCCCAGTGTTATTAATACGAGCGAGTCCTGGGGGAATCATGGCAATGCTATGCGCTAATCCACCTCTTCCCAGCAGGTTTTCTTCGTGGTTACCCAGCACCAGGCTGGGCACCAGGGACACAGGCAAGCTGCGGAATCAGCGGGACATGCTAAGTGAGCCACTGTGAATGCATTCCTGCCCTCAGCGAACACACACAGGACTCAGACTGGGAGGCAAAGGGCACATGGCAAGAACGTGACTGCCTCCTTCATCCTGGAGGCTGTGTGGTCTGGTTCCACTGGTTACCTAGAGCCTGACTCAGTTCCCAGAGGAGTTCTGGCCTCAGCAAATCAGATGCCACAAAGATAGGCTCTCATACCGGACCCTACATGTGAACCAGCAGCTGACCTGCTGGCCTGTGCAGGCTTTACATGAAAGATCCACGTGAAACATTCAAAGGCGTTGCTGAGCCCCCACAGGGCACAGGTGGGTAGATGGACCCAGGTCAGAAACAAAGACAAGTTCCCCACTGTTTTGTAGCAGGGGATACAAATCCCACACACCAGTGGACTTAAGAACACTGAGCACAGGAACACAGCCTTCTTAAGGGGAGGGATTACGTCAAATATGTCACTGGATGCCTGGCACACAGTAGGTGCTCAGTAAACACTGAATGCATTAAAAACTCTTTACATCCTATTTAGGGCCAAATTCTCACAAGGACATGGCTTTCCTCTTCCACATCAGCCCCACTCCTCCCTGCAAATAAATTCATCAGCAAAGAGTTTTAACTCAGACCACGAGCCATCAACGCAGTCTACCTACCCGAGGGTAGGGGATCCCGGTCTTGGTGTTTTCAAAGGCAGGGAGGAGCCGCACGGCCAGGTCATGAGCCATGTGCAACAGCTCATTATCATAATCCTTAATCGTCATGTCACCAAAGGGCTGCTTGGAGTCAGTAATTATTCTGTGGGCAGAAAGAAGGCTTCCCAGGACCCTAATGACAGGAAGAACAAAAAAGTAATAAAATCATGCCGGTTGGAAATGTGCACACTCCAGCTCAGAATGACAGAACCATTCTGAACAGAGCGGAAAAAGGCTTCAGTTCCTTATGGACTTGGAACTGCCTGAAATCAGAGGAACTGGACTTCATGACCCCCTGACGTCCTTTCCAGCCCTAATGGTAAATGATCAATTCTTAACTAACCACATTACCGAAAGGGAGACAGCAAACCACTCATCCGAGGCTCCTGGGAATAATCCCACTTCAATATAACTATGCCTGGTGATCTGCATCATCTCATCACAGGGGAGGACCCTGATCACTCTCAGAATAAGTATCACCCTTCAGCATTAACAAACTACTCTTGATTTCTCTCGCTTGGGGAAAAAACGAACCCATATGAGAAACAGAAAGGGGCAAGACAGCAAATATTGACCAACTTTTGTATTCTGGTGGCTGAGCAACGTGAAGCTCTCCAACTTCTGGTCAAGAGTCAAGGTGAGGAAGAGGAGGAGACGAGGAGAAAATGACCCACTCAGAGGGAGGGGCGACCAGCTTAGACCTCCCTTCCCCAACAGCCATGAATCTACGTCCCACTCCAATGATGTGAAGTGGACTGTGACATTTTTCAGAACAAATGCTTTCCTAACTTCAATTTCAAATAAATGTTACATCTGGAATGTTATGCAGTAATACAGTTTTCAGAAAGTTTAAATGGAATAGGAAAATTGTCATGATATATTAAACTAAGAAGGCAAGATATAAAACACGAGCCCAGTACACTGGGGCAGGGGAGAGCAAGAAAGACACACATGGCGCAAACAGACCCAAATGGTCTGCAGGGGTCTCATGTCGGGGGGTGGGGGGGGAGTGCGGGGGTGAGATGGGAAACCAATGTCATCAGAAACATGCAGGGGTTTTCCCAGGACAGAGTGAAGGAAATGAGACTAGACACAAAGAGAAATCATGAAAAATTCCTTTAAAGGGACTCAATCTTAAACCTTCATTAAAGCCTAAGTGTGTCTTTCTATTCAGTCCCAAATATAATTACTTTGAAATGTCAATTGTTTCAGTTTTCACAAATCCAAAAGCAGATGAAAAGGGGACACCAGGCCCGCAGGTCTGCACCTTGTGGCTGGTGGCCCCTCGCAAGAATTTTCCCCCTTACACACACACAGAAGCAGCCTTCAACCCGTTCTATGGACTATTTTACCTTATCGTGGCCTCAAACACTTGGACGGTGGAATCTTTGTCAAATGAAACTGTGTCAATCACTAATTTGACGGCTTTCTGGAACTCGGACGAATTTCCCATTATCTTTAAAAAGAGGAACAGAAACCATTACAACAGCCTGAAATGAAACTGAAGGAGATGATGTCAGGAGACGGGCCACTTCATTTAAACGTCTGTGCATCTGGTTTCCTACTCGTGGGAGCAGAACCATTCAAGGTACAAAAGCAGTTGTCTCAGGATATTTTCTGGGACAGACGACAAGCCCATTTCCACCAACTCAAGAATCCTACCTCTGAATGGCAAAACTGTGACAGTCACTCCTCATAAAATCACGAGCAATGAGCACCCTCGGTGACCCACTCCTCTCTCCCCCAAACTTCAGACTGACATTTAGCATGCAGGACATATGGTGCCTGCAGTTCCTGAAATGGGGAAAAAATAAATCCAAAAACTGAAGAAACAAAAAACATAGCTTTCCCTCTGCTCCTCAAATAATTCGACAGCTGGGGCGCTTGGCTCCCAGGAAACTGCAACATCTGGGTCAGTGACTTGTTGCTTGTTATCCAGACGTCTGAACGCTCTGAGAAAGAGTGGTATTATCTTTTGGAGCAGAGCGTAAAGCCAGTGACATGCAATTCAAACAAAACATACACATAACCAGCTCTCCATCCTTTTTAAAAAGTGATTAAGAATTAGGATTCCTATTCTGGGTGCGTGGATATGGCATTATTCCAAGCTTCCCTCTCTTATATGAAGTGCCAAATGGGCATACAATTTTATAGATGAACTTGAACTGAAATGCTTTCATGCTGTTCAAAATTTTAGAACAATCCTGGGACCAAAATGACATCATAAGGACATACACAGAAAAACAAAGAAGAACAAGTAATTTCATTCAGACAGTACTTCCAGTATGTCCTATTTCCTAGTATGTATTGGTCTAGCGCATCTGTTTTCCTTCCCTGCCCCGCCCCTCACTGTTATTCTGCTGTAACATGCAGGGCAAGTACAGACGTTTCTTTTCTGGCTTTCAGTTCTTTCCTTCTAAAGGATTATGCAATCATGCTGCAAGTTGCATCAAATGGTGGAGGGATTGCTAGAGACGGATGGTTTCCAAAGTACATCTGTTACAGTTCGTTTAAAATGTTAGCAAAAGGAAAGGAAAACCTCAACAGAAGTGACACCTGAAAAATAAGCCTGAAGTGTGCATTAAAGACCGGATATTCTACAATGAAACCCACAGAGGCTGGCTTGTTTCCTTACAGATGTTCAGCAGCAGCAGTATCTGTGAGCAGCTGCAGATGCTGACATGATCTCAGATCACGCAGAGGGTGGCGAAGGAAGCCAACGACTCTCGATTACATATTGTAACTTACCATTTTAGCCACAGAACAGAGTAACAGAGTAACAAGTCTATGAATTCATTCATTCGGCATCAAGAAAAGCTGGACTGGATATTGGGGTTAAATAGGTTTCTTCACTAAAGGCCTTCTCAGAGTCTTTAAAATGCTGGTGGGCACTGCAGCTCTCCAACAGAGGGACAGACTTAGAGAATTTTTCAAGTTCATTTGAGGAAGGAATTCTTTCAGGGAGCATACCCTAGGAATCTGGACTGGGGAATGCCAGGTTGGTAGAAATTCATTTTCTTAACACATATTTGCACTCCTACTATGTTTCAGACACCAGTAGGCGTGGAGAGAGTGAGCTGAGTAATAGAGATGATGTCTCTGTATTTAATGCGCATGGCAGGGGGATAGAAAGACACAATGAGGCAAAAAGCGAGAGCTCGGGGAGAAAAGGTGGGCTTTCGTAAGCCATATATGAGTCTTGGGACTTTTTTTGAAGCAGGACTTGCAGGCTGAGTCTGCCTCTGGGATAATTCAACAAGTTAACTCTAATGAGGATGAACATACTTGTCCGGGCACAGTTAGATCAGCGATGGCAGGGGGCTGAGGTGGAGTGGCAACAACTTCAGAAGGAGATACTGGGCGACTCAATGGCTCTGCAGCTTCAGCCTGGCAGAGTGAAACCCCGGGTTTCCTAACAGACCGTGAGCCTAGGAGGATGGAGCACGACCTCTCAAGCTCTGCCCAAGTTCCTGTAGTTCTAGAAGTAGCAAGATCCTGGCCAGCTGTAATGCAAACTTAGCGAGCATTACCCAACTCCTGACAGCTTTAAACTCTTTCTAAAGCAAGTTCAAATGCAGGATCCAGAATCGACCACAGTAAGAATTTTCCAGTGGTAAAGGCTTGCTGGACAACTAAGTGGAGCAAAGAGGTAGTAAAATCATGTTTACATGGGAAATTTGTGAACGCTAGGATGAAATACAGTCCCCCGCTGTGTTCTACAGCAGAAGGTGGTGACGCAGGCGCAGCGCACTAAGTAAGTACCGGG